AACATAATAAAAAAAAAGTATCTCGTATAAGTTTAATAATAAAATATAAAATAGAGGAATAAAATGATTTTTTAAAATAAAATTGTCTCACCAATCAATTTTATTTCTTCGTTAATTCCTTTTGATTATTCTTCATTGATCGATCCGAACTATTAAGATAATCGTTTTAGAAATTTAATCGAGAAGTTGCACTTCATCCGGGCACGTAAGATTACCGTTATAATATGGTAAACCGATTAATGCTAATAAACGTAACACTATCGTATGACACAAGTTGGACGTACGATACAGTACTTGAAATATTATCAAGAATCTTTTCTTTTACGCGATATATAACAAATAAAATAATATATTTGTTTTTTTATTAATAAAATTTATATCAAACTTATCCGCGTAAATTAAAATTCATTCTAACAGAATTTGTTTTTCATTCCAAAATTTTTGTTTGTTGTTGTAGTCAATATTTAAACATTTTGAAGAATAAGAAACAATTTCAATTAAAATATATATATATAAATATTCAATTAAAATATATAAAAATATTAGATATAAATAAATATCCAATTTGAATGAAATACACAAAAATAAAGAAAAATAAAATATGCGAATACAAAGAACAAAAGGAGGTTTGTGATAATTTTATGTTACACACAGTTGTGACACGTTTTCTAAATGACACAATTAATTTGTTCATTTAATTTGTAAATGAAGAAAAGGAAAAACAAACACTCGAAGAATAAACAATTGATTGATTGTTAATTATGGAAAAAATGTTTAAGTAAGAACTGGTGACACTAACACAACGTAAAACCGATCGAAAGGTTCTTACAGGAATGGCACAGGTCTGACTTGTCTGCTCATACATATACCTATTCTACTACTCTATACCTTACAAACTGTCTTTTAGTTTTAATCCGCTCCACTAATTCCGTTTTCCTATTCCAACTACCTGTGTATTATTATTTATAAACGTTTCGTACTTTTGTCTCATTAAAATCATCTTTGTCGTATAACAGATTTTATTATTTGCTTTTTATAATAATAATAATGATGATGATAATGATATTGGATAAATGAGACTATGATTATGGGTTAGTATTATGAAAGTAGTGTAATTGTTGGTCAATTATATCTTTTATTTTGACATGTTTGAAAGGATTATATTTGAATATTGTAAATGAATTTCATATAATGTTGAAATAACAAGCATTTAACTAATG